GTGTCGTCTTTTTTCCTCCTCATTGTCATTTAATAAGTGGAAGAACTTCAGAAAGCTGTTCTGTCTGTAAACCCTCCTGAATTCCTTTGGAATAAAAGAAAACTAAATGTTAATAACTGTAGTAAAACAGAAGGATAGGGTCTGGCCAAGTGAGCCCTTTGGTTTATGGAAGGTGTTATGATTGGTTAGAATTTGGCACATTGCCTTGCAGGGTGATGTTTTATTTTACATACCTTTGTAGCTCATAAACCCAGCCACTAAAATAATTTCTTTTTCCAGAATAAAACTCTCATTTTAAGCTTTTTATGTTGAGCATGGAAATTGTCTAGCCTGTTCATTAATAGTTACCTGGGGTACTGGTATTTTTGAAGTGGAATTGGTGTTTTTGCTCTGAGAAGTGAAACGTCATCTTTTAGCAGTTTAATTCAACAAATTATTTTGAATAAGCTGAAGACTAGTTTATGTACTAAATGCTTTAATAGTGCTGTGTGCTTTAAAACTTGAGGTCTTGATGTGATTCCTGTATCTGTTAAAAGCTGAGATTTATCTGAATGGAGAAATAACTATTTTTCTAACATCCACATTCAGAGTAAATTGTGGCAGAACTGTTTGAGGTGAGTGCTGCCCTGCCTCAGTCTGTTCTGAATTTGTTTTGGGAGGAAAAAAAACAAAAAACCCACGAGAGGCTAATTTGTGCAGCAAATACAAATCCTAACAAGATCAAGGCAATTAATACTTCCTCTGCTTTTAAAATATCTGTGACCACAGGCTGCAGCAATCAAATTGTCACAGATGAGGATGGGCTGGCCATCTGTAACTGTGGCAGGGGCAGGGAGTTCTTGTGAGAATGTTATTAAGCCTGTGAAGGAGAAATTTGATTCATGCACAGGGAAATTTGTGGTATTGTTTGGCTTTCTATATTGCAGATCTCTGTGGTTTGTTGTATGCCTCTGTTTTTGCATCTTAGCTTGAGTCAAACATAAAACAAGCACACAAACAAAACTAATAAAAAAACCCACACAAAGATGGTTTGCATAGAAATTGATATGTAAAATTACTGTGTTTATTTTACAAGGGTTGGTAAATAAGCAATGAGTATTTGTCTGAAGAATAAGCTGAGGGAAAGCTTTGATTTTTCAGTCTCTTTTTCTACATTTATTAAATGTGTGAAGGAAAAGCACTGTACTAGAATTGTACAATTGTACAAGAGTAGAGTGATTTTGTGGAGATCTATGTGCATGTGGATTGACCAAAGCTTTCTGTTTGTTTTTTTTTCATTTTCCCGTGAGCAACAAAAGCAAGACAATGTTATGGATCTATTAATCAGCTTTCCATCACAGTCTTAACAGATTTAGGAGAGTCTGTAGCTATTTGTGTTCTCATGGCTTCTGCAGAAAGTCAAGGAGCAAAGCCCCCATCGGTGCCTAGACAGGAGAGGGCAAGTTAGAGAATAATAAAGGTGCAAAGACACTTAACTATCTTTGCTGTGTTTTGTCATATTTGAATCCTCTGAGTGGCAGTAAGAACTTTTGGGTCCTCTATTCAAGTTGCTGTTGATGCAAATAGGAATTGAGGATTTGTCAGATGGAAAGTGGCAGAAATTGTTGTTGCATAGTGCAGTACTTTGAGTGCTGTGAGGTGGTTGGTTTGTGTCTGCCTTTGCATCCTAGATTTGCACTGAGTGTCAAGTTTGAGGTCAGGGAGGAATATTCCTCATTTTGGATAGATTTGGACAAGGGGGTGGCAATTATCACTTTCCATGTAGCCTGGGCACGTTGCTTTCTGCAGTTCTACAGGGATTGGCATGTAATGGCTCCTTCCTTCCAAGGTTTGGATAAATCCCTTCAGCTCCCTTGTTTTCCATCCTGTGGTGTAGCTGAGGTTTCAAGACCTTTGGTTTCCTAGATATTTATTCTTGTGCTTGCTGCTGTCGCTGGTGGGTGGTTTGCCACCAGTGTGGGCTGGGAGAATCATGTGTGCTGAGATCAGGGCATGATCTGTGGCACCCTTCTGAATGTGACTCCTGTGGGGCAAACACCTGGTGACACCACCATGACCACCTTGTTTTGCCTTCCTTAAATCCAGGACAGAATTACACGTAATTTTTAATTGGTAGCTTGTGATGGTAATCAAACCATGTATTTCCTAAAGTGACACACATTGATTTCTTTATGCAAATGTGAAGTGGGATTAAAAAGATACAAGCAGTTGGTTGGGAAGAGGTTTAGTTTAGATCTTTGATTAAAGCTTTGTGGAATTTTCACTTTTCATTTTTTTCTCCAGTGAAGGTGTGATAAGATACTCTGCAATCTTCCAGTGCCCTGTGGCAATGGAAGACTTTGTGGTTTTGGTTCTCTTGTGGCTCCTCCTTCATGGTGGAATTTAGGGAATAATTTCAAAGTGAAATTAATTTGTGAGCTCCTGGATATTCAATTTACATCCAATCTCATTCAGGATGTGTACGATCCTCACTTAAATGAAATGTAATAGACTCCTGTTTGGGGAAAATGTAAAATTTTTCTAAAATCTTTTTTCATAGATGTCTTAGACCAGGCTGGATGAGCCCTGAGGAACCTGGTCTAGTGAGTGGCATCCTCATCCCTGGCAGGGTGGGTAGAACTACATCATCTTTTAGGTCCCTTCCAGCCCACACCATGCTGTGATTCTTTGATTACTTCAGTGGAATTTCTGGAAATGTGTGAGTGAGTGCATTCAAGGATCTTACTCCCCAGGTCTGCAGTTCTGTTTGTAAGCTGAAGTAGTAAATTCTAGCAGAAGTAAAAAGAAAGCTTTAGACACAGATGCTAGTTAGACTTAGCCAATGGTGAATTATGAAGCAATACCCATTATCTAAGCCTTGTGGATAAGTAATAAATCATGGTGTAAATGCTCTTTAAAAATGTTGTGTTCTTTTCTAAAAAATTCTGATCTTTATTTGGGAATTTCTTATTTTTCCACCATCTAAAGTACATCTTCAGTATAAAATACAGTTTCTTTGTTTACTTGTGAACTGATTTTTCACTATAAAATTACCTCTTTTATTCTTCTTTTTTTCACTTCTCTGGAATCTGACTTTATAATTAACTTATTTGTCCCCCAACCCTTAGCCATCTGTGTTCTTGGATCCTCACTATTTCACATTATTCAAGCTGTAGGCAATGCACAGCTCCTATCCCAAATCCCCCAGAAGTTGTCACATATTTTTCATATCATTTGTACAAAGGGCAATCTCTCATCATGGAAATGGGTTCTGGTGGTGAAATGTCACCCGCAGCAGAAACATTAGCTGTGAATGACATGTGTGGTAGGAGTAGATGAATTGCAGAGCTGTGCAGCTGCTTTACCTTGAAACCCTGTCTGGGGAGCGGCTGCACTTTGGGGAGGAAAGCAGGAGTGTGCTGTGCCAGTTCCGTGGGCAAGGAGGGCTGTCAAAATCCTTCATCTGTCATTTCTACCACGTCCCTCCCATTTCTGTGATTAATTGTCACACAGTCTCCTTGAAAACCAACCTAGGCTGGCTTCTTTCTCTGGAGGTTTGTGTCTGGTGAGGTGGTTCTCAGTCACTGCTCATGGTACTCTGCTCAGCACTCCTTGTGCTTCTGCTGTCAGGGATATAAATTCAATGATAAAACCTTCTGAGCTGATGTTTCAGGCTGTGAATTGTTTTGTGTACCATTCTTGAGTCTCCAGAGGGATTAAATAGGGGATAAACAAATAATGGCCTTCTATAAAAGACCCCTGTTCTGTCTCCACTTCCAGTACTTGTACCTTTTATATCAATATTATATTAATATTTCCTCTATGTTTGGGATCCTCCTGGTGATCGAGTCTGAGCAGTTTGGCAATTGATGGTCCCTATGAAAACAGAAGAGAGAAGAAAATGTTATGGCAGGGGACTAGAAACAGTAGAAATGGTAGACTTTGGATCACCAGAAATATCTGTGTTGGTTATATCCAGAGCAGCCCAATCCATATATTTTCAACTGAGTTCCTGAAGAATCCTTGTGGATAAGGACATAGCAGATACTGTAGCATAAATAAGATTTTGTCTGTCAATTCAAGTCATCCATACCTTTGCCTTTTATCTTTCTCTGCTCCTCAGTTCTTTCAGCTATTCATTTTCTCCTTAGTGGCTCTTGAGAGTTTGGTGACTGTTTAATATTTTGGGTCCAAAGCCATACTTTTTTTTCCATGATAAATATAAAACAGCTGTGTCTTCTTTTTTTATTTTGGAATATTAGATTCCAGACCTAGCAACAAGAGAAAACGTAGCTCTGCATCCTTTTGAATTAGCATCAGCAGGGCAGCAATCTTGCTTATGAAAAACTAGGGATAAAGATCACCAAACAACCTTTCAGGAACTATCATTCTTACTTGGAAGGGCATACAAATATGGCATGTGAAAAGAACATTTGTTGAGTTTTGGATAGTCAAGGAGAGTAGATGCTAGTGGGTGCTCCTAAAGCAACGTTTATGTTTGCAATTAGAGGAGAGTTTTGAGAGAGAGAAAAGCAGATTATTTGTTATAAAATATATTAAGTGCAAGGGTGTTTTTTCCCCCTCTCGGAACGGAGAGTTGCCAATATATAAACATTTCAGAGAGAATTTTACACCACCTCATCTTTATGTCAGGCAGCATTTAATGGTTGAACGATCTCCTGCCCCAGCACTTGGCAGTTATTCTCCAGGGGCTGACTTTGAGGATTACAATGACAGTCTATCAGTGGATCTCTTCCAGTATAAACTAGGCTAGGACCATTTAAAATCAGTTGCTATCAACAAGTCAAATTAACTTTATTTGTGTTAGAGGTTTTCCTAGGAGTATTTTATAACAATGTGGAATTTTAATATCCGGACGAGCTTGTTGGTATGATTTGGGAATGTGCTAATTCATGTGATTAAGAGCAATTTACCTGATTCCTTTCAGAATTACTTTATTAGTAACGTTCAGGTCCAGTGCTCACTCCAGTTTTTTTCCTATTCCTTCTTTTAACAGGTAGAAATAACACTTCAGGATATCAATGACAATCCACCAGTATTCCCCACAGACATGCTTGACCTGACTGTAGAGGAGAACATAGGGGATGGATCTAAAATACTGCAGCTGACAGCCATGGATGCTGATGAGGTAGGAGCATGATTTCAGTTTTGAATGTTGGTACTGAAAGTGCCATTCTGGACATGTTTTAATCTGTTTTCTTCATCCCTTTGTGTGAGCTTAGCCTTAGGAATCACGGCAGTCATTCACAAAGCTCTGTCCAGTACTGTGGAGGACTAAGCTAACTTTCAAATTAAGATGTTGCAGTTGAGCCCAAGGTGTGCAATAAAATTAACCTGAGACAAGCCTTGGAGAACAAGTAAAACTCTGATAATGCCTGCTTTCCCCTTGACTACATCTAACAAAGATCAATATTATCCCTTCCAAAAGATGGCTTTATTTTATCAAAAAGAGGGGAAAAGAAATAATGATAAAATGTGCTCTGTACATGAATCTGTTTGCAAAAGAATTTTGCCCTCTGAGATTCATTATTATGAGAATGCTGCAACTAAGATACTATGAAGAAACTACTATGCTATTGATGCATTCATTTATTTTAAAAGTTTGAGTTATAAACATGTTAATCATGTTATTTTTGTTTGGTTGAACTATTTCTTTTTCATGAGGAAACCGACTAAAAAGTCAATATAATAGTACAAAAAGTTTGTGTTGTCATTAAAATACAGAGTTGCACTTGACAACAGCAAGCAGTTCTTGTTTTCCAATAAAAGGGCAATTCAACCTCCTCAGGAGAATTTTATTCCTAACCTTTAGCTTGGTTAGTCTTCCTGTGATTGTTAATTGGTGTGCTTAATCTTACTGCTACAGAGGGAACCACGGGAACACCCCCAGGAATGGCGTGAATGTAATTGTAAATATTTTGTTTTTCCCTTTATTTTCCAGTAGTAGCCTGATACACAGACAAAACCAGGATTTTGGAAAGGTGCACTTGTGTAACAAAAATTCTAGCTGGTTATTTTTCTTTTAGGAAGCAGTAGATACCAAGCTACCACTCTGTGATGTGGTATGGCAAATATATCTAAGATTACAGCAATAATGCTCCAGCCTCTTTACCCATTCCTGAACTGCCCCTAATCTATTACCCCTTCTGAAGCACTCCACCCAGTGGGAAGTGATTTATTACCTTAGAAAGAAATCAGTCAGTGTTTTTATCAAAAGGAATGATTTCAATTTCCCTGCCAGAACATTTGTAACTCAAACTCTTTACAAGGAGCCCGAGTTTTCCTAGTGATGTGCAACTTTTGGCTGAGATACCTTTTTATTCCCCCTTGCTTTTTGAAGCTGAGGGCAAAGTATAAGCCAGCATCACACCTGGCTGTGGTTTTAACTGCACTCTGTTAGAAGGACTGTGGCTGGTCAAACAAGGGGTGAAGAGTGTGGTCACCTCTGAAAATTCCCATGAGGTGTGATGGCTAAGCCACACAATTGGAGGAAAGCGTGTGACATCCCCCAGGCACACCTGAGCACGCAGATGGAGCACGGCACGCAGCTCTGCAGGGCTGGGCACTGCAGAAGTCTGTTTTCTTTCTAAATTTCCTTTTATCAGTTAGCTCAGTCTGACTCTTTGAAACAGCACCCCAGAGAAAGTTTGGCATGGGGCACTGTGGTAAGGTCAGGCAACTAATGCTTGTCTCTCCTCTCACACATACAAGCAGGTGTTTATCTCTGTTAATTTGCTTTTTTTAGGCAGGAGTATTTGAAACAGCCCTAGAATTCCTTTCAGCCTGATGTCTTTGATCTGCTGTTCATTGCAGAAGTGCCACTGGCACATCAGCAGCAGGTTTCAGCTGTCAAACCTGAGCTCTGGCCTGGCACCAGAGGAGGGCACAGTAAATAACTCCTTGAATTTCTAGGCACCATCAGTACACAGGGTTTAGATACTGTATATGATGTTGGAGGCTACCAAACTCTAAGTATCCTTAAGCCTGTCTTGGAAAAAGAAGTAGATGACATTTTTCTGTGTAACATTACTTCTCCTTAACTTTCCTTTCAACCAAAATGCTCGAAGTCCACATGAATGCTTCTTTTTTTCCCCCAAAAGTAAATGAAATTTTTTGACCCAAAAGCAAATGCTTTTGACTTGCAGCACAACCCAAGAGATCAGAACTATGATTTTAATGGTGTGTGATTTGTCACTTCGGGGTTTTTTTTATTCACATGGGTAAATATATTTCCATGCAGAAACTGACCTTTGAGGGGCTGCTGCAAGCATGGCCTCCATGGGTTTCTCCTGAGCACGAGCTGTGGTCCTTGCCCTGCGTGGTGGCTGGAAGTGCTGCTACGTGCCTGCCCCAGGTCCTCCCTGCTTCTGTGCCTTCATTCCTCCCTCTCCTGCTCCCTCCATGCTAGAGAGCAAGAAAGGCAGAGCTGATCCCACTGGCAAGGATTTAATTTAACCTTCAAAGCTAAGGATCAGTGTTTAGTCTTGTTTTACGATGTCACACTGCTCAGTGATGCTGGTTTGAAACCAAAACAGGTAACAGAGTTTTTTAGTATTGATTGGATGAAATCCTTTTATGAAGAGTAGAGCACAAAGTATCTGGGTAATCTCATCGTTTCACATCTCATAAATAAAAACTGTGTGCATGTGGGGCTGAAGCAGGGACTGGGCAGGAAGGCTGCTTATTAAAGGAAACTGTTCTGAAAAATAATCCCCAAGCGCAGTTACTGGAACGATCCTTGCCTTGCTGCAAGTTGAGCTGTGGTTTTCCTGGTGAATGCGGCGATTTGACCGCTTCTGTTCTGGCTTAGGGAGCCAATGCCCTGGTGACGTACACCATCATCAGCGGTGCAGATGACAGCTTCCACATCGACCCCGAGTCGGGCGAGCTGATCGCCACCAAGCGCCTGGACCGCGAGCGCCGCTCCAAGTACTCCCTGCTGGTCCGCGCTGACGACGGCCTGCAGTCCTCGGACGTGAGGATAAACATCACCGTCAGCGATGTCAATGACCACATCCCCAAGTTCTCCAAGCCAGTGTACTCCTTTGACATCCCAGAAGATGCCACTCCAGGTAAACAGGACTTGGAAATACGACTGCTGGCTTCTCAAGTGGTTGTTTTCTTCGTTTAAGCTGGTTTCGTATGCAAGAGTGTCTTTTCATGCTTAAAATGGGGGCTGTAAATTAAAAAGTGTTTAGATCAAAAAAAAGTTTTCAAATACTGTGTTCTATTATATGTTTCCAGGTGAGAAATGAATATTACTTCCAAGATTTTATACAGATTGCTAGTACAAAAGCAGTATCTGCCAGTAGCATCTTAGAAGCTTATTCTAAAACATAAACAAACCAAGGAGATGCAAATTATGTGGTGTTAGCTTTCAAGCTTTTATTAGGGTTTTCACAAGCATGGGAGTCTCAGCTTGGGAGAACTAAGGTTACCCCCATGCCTCCAACTTTTGCACTCTGCCCCACAGTCCGTGTCCCAAAATTTGGTGGTGTTTCACGTTAAAGAATTACAGTGCAATCAGCTGTGCCTCAGGAATCCAATCTGGAAGTAATTGAGGTGTCTGTATAGCACGGAGTGCTTTGGTTGCTGATCCCCAGCCATGGTCTTTTCTCTCAGAGCCTTGGGTCTAGGTCTGTTTCAGCAGCAATAACCCTGGAAAAGGCAAGCCTAATGCCCTCCATGTGAAAATGAGACTTCTCTAGTTAATCATTTACAGGGTGTACATTAGTGCTTTGTAGCCAGCTCAGCAGTGGTGGATGCTGAAGGAAAAAATAGGCTGATTTTGTATTAAAGTACTGCATCTTCTCCTGCTCTGCTGTCCGCAAGTCTGGGAGCAGCTGGCAGGCTCACTCAGAGGGGAATGACCAGGAGGTTTCCCCTTTGAGGTTCAGCTTTCTATCCCAGAGAGTAATCCCCATTCCCCTTGCAGTTAAAGAAACATAAAGCTTGAGATCATCAAATGTGTGTGAAAGATGCCAGCATATCCAGCTGGATTAAAGGGGGTTGCAGCACTCTTCTTTGTTCTGATGATATAAGCAGTTTTCACTATCATGTTGCTTGAAAGTAGTTAACTGTGCTGCACGTAGTTCATCTGGTTCCAGGGAAAGGAAACTTAATGATTTCTTTTCTTGGAAATGAGCTGATCTTAATTATAATTAGTGTTCGAAATACTAAAAAGTGACACTTGATTTCCAAACTCTAGTCAGATAGGTCAGCTATGCAGAAATGAAAACACTGGCACAAATTCACAGGGCGTTGAATTTCAGAAAACAGCGGAGAACAGACCCCTATAGGGTTTCTAGTTTTCTAACCACAGTTACCCTGCAAAGGCACTGTTTCAAAAAGCAGAGCTGGGTTATGCGGTTGGAAAGAAATATATTTGGGTTCTGCATTTGGAAAGAAATATCTAGAAGGTTCCAGAACTTGTGATTGTCTGCGGCAAAGGGAGGGTCCTTTGAGTCTTAGGGAGACAATGCCTAGCAGGACAAAAGGTATTTTTGCCCCTGTTGATATCTAAGTTAAAAAACAGCTTTGAGAAACCTTTTGCAATAGCTATTCAGACAGTGTCGAGGCTTGAGTTTCTCTGGGAGGGCATTTCTCATCTGTGGATCTGCTCGATGCTGAGCTGGCTCTTGCCTGTTGCAAGTGCCTGAAGGTGCTGTGCTGTTGTGCCATGCAGGCTCCTTGGTGGCAGCCATTCTTGCCACTGACGACGACTCGGGCGTCAACGGGGAGATCACGTACACCATAAGCGAGGATGATGAAGAGGGAATCTTCTTCCTGAATCCCGTCACCGGGGTCTTCAACCTGACACGGGCCCTGGACTACGAAGCTCAGCAGTATTACATCCTCACCGTCCATGCCGAGGATGGGGGAGGCCAGTCCACGGCCATCAGGGTGTACTTCAACATCCTGGACATCAACGACAACCCGCCCGTCTTTGGCATGGCCTCCTACAGCACTTCCTTGATGGAGAACCTTCCCCCTGGGTCCGCCATCCTCAACTTCAGCGTCACCGACGCCGATGACGGTAGGAGTTCCCTGACATTCTGTGTCTGTGCTCGTAAATCTGTGCTTCACCTTAGCAATGTGTTAGACTTACTCAAAAAAGGGAAAATTGGGGCTCCCTGTAAGTTGCTGCTCTCGTATGCTTAAATTCTCATTTAAATTAGACCTAAGTCTGCCAAGTGTTTTTTCTGGTTTTTTTTTTCCAAGTTTGTTATAAATTCTGAAGAAGGTTGTGGTAATATCAGATGTTACCTGCAATCATCTTAAATGCACTATAACTTTCAAGTTGATCGTGAAGGCAGTTGTCATCTACAAGTTGCTGATACATGGAGGTTAAAAAACATTGAAAAAGATCTTAGGAAAACTTCCCGTTGAAATGAGCTTTAATATTGGGATTATTTACGGCATCTAGAGGGTGTTAATGTGTTGAGTGTTAAAGGTACAATTTTTATAGCTTTCTTAACCATTTTGCCATACAATTTGTGCCCAAGCAAGAAGAATTATAGAATATGACCATAAAATGCATAAACAGCATTCCATCGTGTACCACATTTTCTGAAGTGCCCATAGACATTACCCTGTGTAACCTAATGCAAAACTCTTCATAACTCACAGTGACTTTACAGGTGAAGGTTATTTTTGTGACATGTTGAGCAATCTTGTCTCCTCTTGACTTGACAGGGGCTCAGCAGAGCCCAAGGAAGTGTCTCGCACTGAAATGTGCTTCAAGGACAGAGCACCTACATGCTTCAAGGAATCCCTGTTTGTGCACCTAAATTGACTGAACCTACCGAGGTTGCTCAACAAAGCAGTTTTTCCACAGGAAAAGCTGAGTTGTTGGACTCCAGCATTTTTGTGGGGAGATAAATTTTGCACTGATGGATGGAACTTTCCATGGTGAAAATTGTGTAACTGGTTTTGAGATCAAGCTGAGGAAGGGATAAGAGATTCCATAGCCAAGAGATTCCATTCCAAGATAAGCCAACAAATCAGAAGCCATAACATTGTGATACTGGCTGTTTTTGCATGAATCTCTCTTTCACCACACTGGTTAAGGCTTTTATTTTACGTAAACTAAACAAGTTGGATGAGGAGCTTGCTCCTGTATCATGCATACCTGGGGAAGGGATTGTTCCTCCAGACTTGTAGATAAATGGGTTTGTGTCTATCTCCTCTTTCTTATCTTATTTTCCTGTCAGGACTACAGCACTTGCTTTCAAACCTTTTTGGAAGTTAATTTCACTTTGCTGTTATGAGTCTGTTTTCCTTTTCTCTTGCACCTCATACATTAATTTCCATGTGTGCACAGTGGATGGGAACTGTATCATAGCACTGACATATCAATTCACATTCATTACACACTCAGTTATCAAGGAGGCAAATGAGTACTTGAGGAGCAATGTAACGAGAAGTCAGATATCTTGCCTTTTATATTTTCTGGCACGCTTGCTTTTTTAGGAGGCTGGATTTAAAATTAATAGGGCAGAAATATCATTCCAAGAGCAGGCCAGGTTGAGTTCTCCCATAGGACTGTAACTTAAGTTACAAATGTTATGATCTATTGTTGTTTCTGTTTCAAGCCCACACTTGTTATCTTGTGTTGTCTTATGCTTATCCAGAGCACAGAAATAGCTAATGCTAGTATTATACCCTTCCATGTGCTCACAGATAATGCATTCAATACAATTTCGTTGATTATTTATGTTACACAATCCTATAGTTTGAAAGAGCTCTGAAAAGACATTGTTTTATAATGAGGTATGGCTGTTGTTTTAGGATAAACACTGATAAAAGACAGAAGTGTGGTGATAGTGAAACTGCTCCAATTCTCATTTTCTTGTTCAGCACACCCCTTGGGAAACAGCAGCTGTTTATCTCAGCTTGGACTGTTTCATATACGGGTTCATAGCAGATATCAGCTACAGCTCCTGGATGTTTAATAATATAATAAAATGTACTAAAGAACTCAGTTACTTAAACTGATTCATTTTGAAATTAAGATTTTATTTTTTTCAACAAAGAATTTACAGGAAAACACATGCACACACATGTTTGTCAGTTTGCTAAAATTTTGGTTACGTATTTTCCCAGCTGAATTCTATAGGTATTTATAGAATGGCGGGGGGAAGTAGTTTTGTTGGGTTTTTTTAGTCTTATTAGTAAATAAATAAAAACAGAAACAAAACCCTTTAGAAGAGTGTTATCATGAAAATGGTGACTCCATGTCTGCCCTTTCAGAGTTTTATCAGATGAACCCTTGGATTAAATAAACCTAAGGTTCAGAAAAGAGGATGTCCCTACATTCTCCCTAAGAACAGCCCAGCTCCAAACCTTGGAAGGGGGGATGGATGAGGTGCACAATGCCAGCTTGGCATGCTGTGTTTAAAAAAGAGATTAGTTCATTGAGTGCCCTTCCTGGCTCCACTGATATTTAGGCAACTCTTCTGTTTCAGAGTTTAATTTATATAAGCATTAGCAGCATGGAAACCTATGAGAATACAGGACAAAGAATGAAATGTTCATGGAGGTGAGATAAGGAATAACAAACTAACTTTTTCTTAGGAATAAACACCATAGAAAACACTGGAAGGGAGAGGTGGAAATATAGTGTTTTTTAAAGTAATTTTCTTTTGCAGGACCCAAATCCTACCCATCTCCAAAAATCTTGAATTGCCAGAAAGTACTTTGCTGAAATCAAGACTTTCGTACATATAATTAGTGTATTTGAAAATACAACTGAACAGAAAGCGGAGTAGCATTAAACTTTCACCATCCTTCACTTGATCAAAGTAATGGAGACACACTAATATCTGATAGAAAAATGCATTAATTTCTTTAATTGCATTCAAATATTTTGTCTTTCATGTTTGGTTCTATTCATTTTATAATTTGACTCCTACAGGAGGAAAAAGAGAGAGGGAAAGATGCCAATTACAGTAGCCACTGGGGGAAAGACACATAAGACTAGATTTCTCAAGTCTGAGCATAATAAACAGCAGAGATTAGTAAATCTAATGCAGGGATAATTTTATTATCAAAGCAATTCACTCAGAGAGAATATCTTCTGAATAAAAATGACAAAATGCACAGCAATCAGTGAAGTGGGCAGCTTTCTTTACATGAACAAGCTAGTTTGAGAGGTAAATTAGTAGCTAATGGTTGGTTAATTTACTAATCCTAAACACAGTCTTGAATACGCAAAGCAAGAACAATTTTCAAATTAATTAAAATAGGGGTAAGATAGAAGGAGGAGAGAACTTCTTCCACATTTGGATGTTCCCAATAATTAGTTGTTTTGAGTGAACTGTGGAATTGACGCAGTAGCAGGTATTGTTTCCTACAAGGAATATTTAAGGATATTTCACAGCCCTGTCCAGGTTCAGGATGCATTTCCCTTACTGGAATGATATCTCTCCCCTGACCATAATTGCTGGTTATGTTTTGATCATGAGATGAGTGAGGGCTGTTCATTAGATATTTTGGAATACCATGCCATATATGGGAAGCATACCTTTCCCCAGTATTCACTCTTGGCTTGCTCTAGCTAGGCTTGGGAGTTTCTGCTTGTGGCTTTTTTTAATTGAGTGGAAAAATTCACAAAATAATTACATTAATAATAACGTTGCTCAGTTGAACTGGGAAGAATGGCGGAAACCAGATGTTCAGTGAGCAGAGAACTACTGGGTCTTGGTTTCTGAAGGAAAACCCTTCAAATCCTTTATCCATCACCCTTGTAGATGGGGAAAAATTAGTTTTGGTGCCACCATGGAGCTCCTGCTGAATGAAAAGCAGAGATGAACCCTGCCAGTTGTTCCCTCTGTGGCCTCTCCAATGAACATCATCCCTCTCTCTTTCATGAATATTATCTTGTCAGAAAATAATAATTTCAAAGGCTTCTGCTCCACTGTGAAACTTGGCTAAAATTAGCAGATGGATTCAAAAAATGGTGGTGAGGAGGCTCAACACTCCAATGGTGGTGAGGAGTGTGAGCACTCAACATGGTTGTACAGTCCTCATTTCAGTGGGAAAATGAAGGAAAATTTCCTTTGTGGAAATGAGGCTGGAAATATTGATACTTAGGGGATACCAGTGGGATGAAGTCATGTTATCTACCTTTCTTCTCCCTCCCCAACCAGGTCCCAACTCTCAGCTGTCCTTCAGCATCGCGTCCGGGGACAGCGCGGGGCAGTTTGGCATCGACAACCGTGGGGTGCTGAGCATCCGGCAGCCCTTGGATCGGGAAAGCCAGTCCTTCTACAGCCTCGTCGTGCAAGTCCACGACATGGCCCCACTGCCAGCCTCCAGGTACACCAGCACAGCCCAGGTTTCCATCATTCTGCTGGATGTGAACGACAGCCCCCCGAGCTTTATCTCCCCGAAGCTGACGTACGTGCCGGAGAACACGCCCATGGACACAGTGGTGTTCAAAGCCCAGGCCACGGATCCCGACAGCGGTCCCAACAGCTACATCGAGTACAGCCTGCTCCGGCCTCCGGGAAGCAAGTTCAGCATCGGCACCATTGATGGCGAGGTGAGGCTCACCGGGGAGCTCGACAGAGAAGCCGTGGCCAACTACACCTTGACTGTGGTAGCCACAGACAAGGGTCAGCCGTCCCTTTCTTCGTCTACGGATGTGGTGGTCATAGTCCTGGACATCAATGACAACAACCCGCTCTTTGCCCAGAAGCTTTACAAAGTGGAGGTGGCGGAAAATACTTTGACAGGGACGGATTTAATCCAGGTGCTGGCTGCTGATGGAGATGAGGGGACAAACGGGCAGGTGCGCTACGCCATCGTCAGCGGGGATGCCAGCAATGAGTTTCGGATCGATTCTGTGACGGGGGTGATCACTGTGGCCAAGCCTTTGGACAGAGAGAAGAAGCCCTCCTACACACTGACTGTTCAGTCATCCGACCGTGGGAGCAGCCCCAGGACCGATACCGCGACAGTCAGTATTGTCCTGAAGGATGTCAATGATTTCATTCCCACGTTTGAGCTTTCCCCCTACTCTGTGAACGTCCCTGAGAATTTGGAGACACTCCCAAAAGTTGTCCTTCAGGTGGGTACATTCAGCAATAAATGTGTCTCTGACAATAACTGGCATGCCTACGTGGTATTAACACACAGTGTCCTTCCTCCAAAATTAAAAAGGGGCAAAACAGTGCAGAAGTTGCCTCTTGGCTTTAATTGAATTTGCAGTCTTTGTTGGCTTGTTTTCCTTTTTGTTTGTATGGGTGGGTTTTTTTGTTACCAAAAGTTAATATTATTCTTTGGAGTTCTGTTTGTGTTTTCCCTGCCTATCCTCACACTTCCACTGGGACTTTGGGAGTCTGCTATATCCTCTCATCCTCTCATCTCATTCTCAGCTTCAATGCAACAAATCTTTCCATCTGGTTGTTGCCTACATGGGATGATGCTGTGTGCCAAATACTGAGAGAGAACTAAATGGAATCCAACAGCAGGGCGTGCGGTGCTTGCTCTCATACACAGCTTAGCTTATACCAGGTCATTTGTGTTTTTCACTGAGCCCCAACCCAGTCTTACTGTATTTACACTTGAGAAAAATAAATTATCAACTATTTAGTATTTTCAAACGATGCTTTTTAAATCCACCACCACTGTGTTAAGTATTTTTTTTTTCAATTACAGCTAATTTATACTTGTAGCATTAGCATTAATTCAACCCGTTAATTCGGATCATTATCACAGAGAACGCTTCCTCTATCCCAATATAATTCTACAGTCCTTGATAATCTGTTCTGTTTGCATTGCTCGTGTAGGTTGTAGCAAGGGATGATGACCAGGGGCTGAACAGTGAGCTGACCTACGTGCTGGTGGCTGGCAATGAGGAGGGAGCCTTCACCCTGTCGGGCAGCGGGGAGCTACGCCTGGTGCGGAGCCTGGACCGCGAGGCCAAGGAGCAGTACCTGCTGCTGGTCACGGCTGCTGACGCAGGTGAGGCAGCCAGAGCATCTCTTCTGCTGGGGAACATCGCCTTCTTGACAGAAAATAAGTGGTTTGCAGTGGTCTGAAACTTCAGTGGATGGAGGTTGGGTAGTTGTGTTGAACAGGGATGTCCGTGGGGAGAGCTGGGCTTACCTGATGTCAAAGGGAATTTGGTTTCTGGAAATCAGGATTTTATGCCTATGTCCAGTTGTCTGCTGTTGGTAGAGCTTGCTGCAGATTTAGGTAGGTGGATTTTTGCCCTGCAGTAATAAGTGGTCCTACCTAAGTAATACAAACTTCATGCATGACTATAAAACACCAATTTAAACGGCAATAGCACCCTGTATAATGTTGGTATCACAACTGTGCAGAGGCCACTGATGAGTGGCCACAAAACAGCTATGGACTACTCAGTTAATCTTACTGAAATCTTAGCCTTGAAAGGAAATAAGAATTTGCATTTCAATATTTTAATATTCTGCTTTGCTCAGCATCCAGTCATATCTTTGCACCACAATACCAAATATATTCCAAGTTCTTTCATTTAAAACAGGACGTGAAGTCCTGTTATGAAGATTAATTACACTTTCACTTGAGGTGTCCAAGCCCAAAATTTTGGTTTCAGATTTTGGTCTGAGTATTATTAACAAAGACATCCTGCATCATACTTTGGACTGATCTCCGGTCTCCTATGGTTTGATGGATTTAATTTACTGCAGAACTTGTTCCTGCTTTCTAGCAATAAAAATAGAAGCAGAGCTGACTTGTTGACAAGTGAATACAGTTTTGTTTTCTGCCATGCTGTGTGCAGTATCTTGTGCCAGTGACAACAGCTATGGCTTGTATTTTCCTATTGCAGCAGTGCTCAGGTATTCCACAGCCTGAGCACAGCTGAAGCTGAAAAACACAATTTTAAGGCTTGAGATATCATTTGTCTTGTACTTTGGCTAGAGATAACTGTGTGCTTTATGGTTTTTACACTGGCTTTCTACTACTCTGTAGCCTCAGACTGCTCACTTGTGACTTGGACTCGCCTGGGCTTGAATGTCCTTATGTTCCTTCAGAAGCTGAGGCTGGATTTGTCTTGATGTCTCTTAGGTCTCTCAGTCCAAGCTGGCTGAAATCAGTGAGGGCTGTACAGAGCAAAACACCCAAAGACTGAACTGATAAAAGTGGCATCTTGCAGTCAATAATTATTGTCCTTCTTGGAAGAGGGAGGGGAGCAGAACTCAGCTGTACCCCTCACCTAGCACTGTGTGTAAGCCAAGAGTTTGACCAGAGCATGGGCTTTACCTGGACTCTGGTTCCTAAAACCCCCACACAATCCAGGAGATTTGACCAACAGTTAAATCCCGCAGTCCCAAATGAAAATATTTACCTGTGTCAGGAGATCTCTGAGTTTCAGGTAATCCAGGGAGATGTTAATCCATGAAGTGTGCATGGGACCTTTGCCTTAAGTGGTTGACAAGAGCAGCAGCATGTTTTATGAGTTCCTGTGTTTAAATGTGTAGATATCACACTTATTAAACACTGTTTGAAACTTCCTTTTAAAATTTGCCATGTTCTTTAAAGCTAACTCACAAGTTCCCATGCCCTCCTGCCAGTGTTAGAATATACTAGCAAGTGTTTTCAGCAGCAGCTATTCAGTAGTAACTTTAAGCTAAATGTAGCTGCTCTACTGTGCTTCAGTTTACAACCTGTCTAATCCACAGCTGGTATCATTTGGGATAATTTTCAACCAGGCTGGTGAATAACATTAGCTATCATCTTCTGGTTGCACTGAAGACTTGTTCTGAATTCATACCAGCAAAGAATACATTGAAAACTATGCTAGTCATGATTTATCTAAATCATGGGAAAGTGAAAGTTTTCAGTAGAAATCAGTGGCAAAACTTGATTTCATGCAAATGGGATAGGAACCATAGGCATAGTAGATATCCAGGTGGTACCACACTGGCTGCTGCTAGTCAGTGCTTGTTTCACTAAATGATGTATTTCCTGCCACACTAATAAAAAGGGTGGAATGACACAGTCTTGAAATGGATAATAAAAGCGTTTGGAGTATTTATGTTCTTGAGCAGCTGCTAAATGTTTATACAAGAAACTCTCACAGGCATGTCCAGCTCTTTGCCTAACATAACCATGAGTCTCTTAGTTTGTGTTTGTTTGATAGTTCTTAGTAGGAAGGATTTTGCCTACAGACCATTCATCCAGAAATACTCATGCAGAACAGGTAAGGAAGCTGTGCCTCACAAAGCATTGAAAAAAACAGATTTGTCTGAAATTGTCCATATCCATATTATATTTGAAAAGGAATCAAGGAAAAGGTATTATCCTTTGCACTTTGATGTTGGCTTCTATTAGCTGCAACAAACAGTCTTTCAAGTAGTCTTCAGCAGCCCAAAGTACAGTCTTGCCATATATGGAGCATCTGATTTAAGATTTGGGATTTTTTTACAGATGAAAATCATGGTACACATCCAGATGCAGTTAACTCAGGAAAAGTCCATCAAGAGCAAAATAGTGTCTGTCCTGCCCTCATCCCATTTTTCTTAGGGTCTGCATCTCAATTTTTTATAGGCTGCACTGACTGGTTTAAAACATTCAGAGATGATATCCTGCTCCTAAAGAAGTCTATGCCAATTCTTCCTGTTCTTTCCAGGAAGCAGACACACTACATAGTTAGAAGCACTCTTAGACATAAGAACTAATGGATTCCCAACTTAGTTTTGGCTGTCTTCCTGGTCTTCTTATCCATAATCAAGGATTTCTTGCTTTTCTTATGTTTATTTTCACTTCATCAAATTGTGACTGTGGATTCTTGCTGTGTTACCTTAGCCCGTGTAAGGGAAGTTGCTGGAAGAAGGATGACTTGTAATTTTTCATTATTTTTATCTCAAGGTGTCCTTCCAGTGCACCTCTGTAGATTTACAGCATGTTTTGGCAGCAGGTACACCGAGTATAACAGCAAGGGAAGGATTATGACATGGTAAAGTGTGGAGCCAGTGGGGCTGCATAGATACAGTGCCTGTGCCCTCAGGGATCTCTGTGCTCTTTCACTGCACACAGGAGTGCTCTCCCAGAGCAGATCTTAGCCCTGGGCACGTGAGAAAACCTGTGAGTTATGAAGAGCTGAGCTGCTCATAAGCACTGGGGACAGGTCAGGTGGGAAACTGCCGTGGGACCACGTGCCCCAGCAATGGAAATCCAGGCAGTTGTTGAAGAAGTGCTTTCCCAAGCAAGGGCTCCCCTCAGGCCCAGGGAAGTCGGTCATGATCGATGCATTGTCCTGGCTCTAGCCCAGCTATTCCTTGGCCTTGGCTGCTAATCCTCTGCTCAGTCCTCAGGGTGGATCGCGGGTCGGTGGAGAGTCTTCCCTGCCTGCTGGGGGAGGGAAAGGACGGACAAAACGGCTTCTGGCACTCAGCTCAGTGATTAGTGTCCATGCAGCCTGCCTTGTGCCCAGTTTCCACAAGGCAGGCTGCACAAAGGGTTTTGATTCCTACCTTGGTTTATCATCACTCTTCCCTTGCTTCTGCACTTCCTCTGTGTCTGGGCCTTGGAGACTCGGCCGCCGCTCTAGGCAGGGGGGATTTATGAGGACATGCAGAGCATCCATCACTGGGAACATTCAGCATCTTCCAGAGCTGTACACCTGCGGCTTTGCTCGAGAAATAAAGCACAATTGAACCCCAAAGCTCAGCCATCCCAATTTAGAGACCCTCTTGCAGTGCAGGCTGTAGGACCTGGGTGCGTGAATTATAAATACAGCGACAGGCAAAGTGATGGACTGTGGAATAACAGGATAGTGTTTAGATTGCAGATGCTGCCCCAGAATGTCTGCTAACATAAATGCCAAGAAACCTACACACAACTATTTGAATGTGTCTTCACAGGTCTGCTTCTACCACATAAATCTTTTCTGCTTTGCTGTACCTTTCTTCATGGCAAAATGGTTGGGAAAAGAGATTTTCTGCTTTTTTTTTCCACCCCATCTGGTGGGGATGCGGCACTAGGTAAACATTCAACTCTGGCAGCATGACAAGAACTGGTGCAGCTGCTTTTATCATCTGTGTCTTTAACTCTTTGAGCAATTTTCTGGGCAAATGTTAGCATTCCAACAGTCATCCTTTTATTTATTGATTGCAGGGATGTGGAGTAGCACATCTGGAAACCTGCTCACTGCCCAGGACTACTGTTTAAATAAACTGCAGCCACCATCTCTTGATTAGGTTGGTCAGAATGGCACATGGCCACAATAAAACCAAAATCAAATCGTGATGTTTCTAATTAGAAGCTGTGTTCCTGTGTTTTGGGGGGGGTTTTAATTTTATTTTCTTAAATAACCTGTTTACTGATTTAGATAAATAGTCCTGAAAGAAATGAATCAGTGAATGGTTATTATATTTAGTTAGCTGTTCTTTGTATACATCCCTGGCCTGGATGAAAAACAACCATATGTTTTTTCTTTAGGAAATGTTGGTCCCTGACTTATACATTCTTTCCTTCAGGAATGTAGGAGGGCAACCAAGTAGAGAGGTTATATCCTTCTCAGGAATTCTCTTCTGAGCTAGGCTTTTGGTTCCCTTCAATCCTAAAATCAAATGGAAGATGACAGTGCAGTTGTGTTGTTTTTTTAACACATTTCAAGATATTTCCCAACAGCAAAAGGACAGCTGTATTTTCTAGTAATGTTTAGAAAGTCTTAAGACTCAACATTGTGTGAGATTTAAGTGGCTAGACTTAAGACATTTGTACTCATCCTGTTTCCTTAGCAGACACTGTATTTCTACCTAACATAGAACCTGCAGTGTGAAAAGATGTTGCTTGAAAATAACAAATATTATTTTTAGAACAAAATTAGCTATTTTAAAATTCTGGTGCTGTCAAAAAAAAACAAAACAAAACAAGCAACTTGCTTATTTCTGCTAGAGATGTCCTGTTTGCCAGGTTTTTGTGCAATGTCTAAAAACACCCATTGCTGAAGTTGTGGTGAGCTAAATGAATCT